ACATTTGATTAACGTAACAATTTTATTTGCTATAGTACCTACAACGTAAGTAATAGTGACATGCATATTGTCTTTTAATCCAAGAAAATGGAGCCAAAACAGTGGAACATACTGAAATCTGCATTATTTTCTACGAATAATGAAAAAAATGAGGAAAGGTACCATACAATGGCATTACTAATAAGTAATAATTTGATCGTTATTGGTACGTCCAATGGATAATTAATAATAAGTAAGTACTTCTAAAGTTTAGATGCGTGATGAGCCACCAATTTCCTCAAGACTCAAAGACTACAAGTACATCAATATACCTGAACATATCTGAACGTTAGTCACAGATATAGGTTAGGTTACTACAATGTCATAATGTTAGAATGTATTTTAAGTACTTTCCGCTAATAAGAGAGATAGAAACCAGATTCTTAAGTCAGCAAGAGTTTGATAGTCCTTTTTCTCTTTCTCACGGTAGGCAAGGTACGGGGCTCCTTGATGATGTTTCAATTTGGGGTCAAAAAAGCTCATCACATGCTAATGCAAATGATGAGATAATGCCTCAACATAATCTACGAGTCTCATCCCAAACTTAATTTGGTTTTTATGTAATACGTCAAACAAAAGGTCATAAGAACCGGTGTTTTTCTTGTTATTAATTTGAGTCCCAAACAGGTTGATAAGGAAAAGTAGTCAATATCTAGTAAACACATTGTTTTCATAATATAATACAAGGAAACATATGTAAGTGTTGTCTAGACTAACAATGTCGTTTGTATCAATTTAGATATACGTAAGAAATATTCGAAATACAATTAAACAGTTTCTAGTACTTAGGACAGGGGAGGTGAGATGGTTAACTCTAACTTCATGAGAACTGAAATAGCTTTGAAAAGCACTTCTGTTCGTAATACAAGCATAGATATAGCCAAATCACACATGAGCACCTATCGCTTTAAATCTTTAAAGGAATTAAAAACGTCCATAAGGGTAATAAAGACAACTGTTGATATTTAAACTGTCAAACACCAAGCGGTCACCGGTGACCGCAACCTATTGTTCTATAATTGTGTCTACAAAACCGGTACTCGACGAGTTAATTAGTTTTAGCTACTTCATTTGAAAAAGACGATTGTAACAGAAGACGAAATAAATTGCAGATTTTGCGTTATTACAGAGTCCATGGACGGCGCTGATCGCTTACCAGGTGATGCGTCTGTTCGTTTGCCGCTGTTCCATAAAAAGTGATTCCTCACTCCCGGAGTCCCTACACGACAAAGTATTTGTCTGCAAGCCTGAAATGTCAAGAACACCTATAAGAGGTGAGTTTTTATCAATTGGGTACTTACCAACTAGTCAAATTCAATACTTTTTTCGAACTGTCAAAAACGACGGTTTTCTATGGATTTTGTCCGAGATTGCGTATTGTGACGTCACGTTTTTTAGCGTCAAACAGCGTACTTCTTTCTTAAAAATTAGCTGGAAAAGTATTAAAATTCAGTTGGTCATAAAATAAATTAATGAATGTGTGATTATTTTTTAATATTTAATTGTATTGAGCAGTCGAAATAATTTATTTTTGATTAAAGAAAGTACCCAATTATTGCTTTAAACTGTCAAACACCAAGCGGTCACCTATCAACCAACCTATTGTTCTATAATTGTGTCTACAAAACCGGTACTCGACGAGTTAAAGACTTTTCTGGAAATTTGTTTACTATGTGAGATCTGATCTTTCTGTAGCTGCAACATACCTAACCTTACCAATCTAGTGGTCATTGTGTGTGTGTAGAATAATATTATTTTCTATTTTTATTGTTTGTGTGTTGGGTTTTTAATGTCAAAATGTCACTAGATACCTATTCGTCGTATTGTTTTCAAAAGCAAAATAAAAGGTGCAATTGGACTTGAAATGTAAATATATGTATATTTTTGTGGTTTTTAGTGATCTTTATGAAGACATTTCTAGAAAACGTTTTCAAGTAGTTAGTTCTCGTATTTATTTATTTATTTAATAATTTATGTACACACAAACAGCACAGAGGATACCACATTATATAAGAGTACATATTTGCTACTTATTTCTGTTGGAATTTCTTCCAGTAGACCTGAAACTGTATTTAAAATATAAGCCTCAGTGTTTTCTACCTTATGTTTGAAGAGAAAAAGTAATTAAATGGCTCCTCTGGCCCTGAGTCCGGCAAGAGGGAGTGTCAGACTCAGTTATCGTTATACTATTACATAATATCAACAGTTATTGTGTCTATTCTTGACTTACTTGACTTATAAAGTAAGATTAATGAATTTTGTATTTATTTTTCAGCTTGGTATCCACAAAAGGGGCCTGGTCGTAGTTAAGAGCAACCGAGTAAGATTTGGCGGTTCACGCGGAACTACAGCTTGCCATGCAAAATCCATCAGGCACGTAAGAAATATTGCGGTACTTAAACTAAAATGGTGACATTCTATTAGACTAAAGAATTGAATATAATATATTTGAATTAGCTTTTGTGTCACAAGTATACTGCTTTGAATTTTCGTCAATCGAATAAAAATTTACTAGTTCGTCTAAGAATGTTTCATATGTAAAAGTTGAAGCAAATTGAACGACAAAGACTAACTTTTTAGTCAAATAGACTCTGCACCCTGGGTCGAGTAAAGACATTGGGATGCTTAGCCGTGAAATTTCTAATTATAAGTTTGAAATCGTCAACCCGCTTTTTTATGGAATAGGAGGCAAACGAGCATACGCAACAACAGAGGAGTCACAGGAGTGTTGCCGGCCTTTAAAAAAGGAATACGCTCTTTTCTTGAAGGTTTGAATGTTTGAAGGTTGTATCGATTCGGAAATACCGCCGAAGACAGATCATTCGCTTTGGCAAGCGTGGTGATTAATGCTTAAACCTTCATATGAGATGAGGTCTTTGGGCAGCAGTGACCACTTATAGGCTGTTGATGTGATGTGAACTGTGAATCTATAAGAAACTGATCCACTTTCCTACCGGTTTTGTAGACACATTTATAGAACAATAGGTTGCGGTCACCGGTGACCGCTTGGTGTTTGACAGTTTAATCGCTTTTGTCCGGGAGAGTTTTTTTGTGTATGGCGATAATCTCACCCCTCATTACGTGGGATACGTAACATAAGTGATGAAAAGTGGATGTTACATTGTAAATGTGCACCTACCTATCTAGTCGTGACGTTGTGTCATCTTTTCAGCTATCGAGAGAATAGAGTTCCTAATGTCAATCACATTAATTTTATTACGTCTATACTATGTCTATACTATATAAATTATTCGAGAGAATAGAAAATCACCACAGTCTCAACTAAACACGTTTGAATGTTATTTTATTTAGATACTGCCATCTATATTGACGTGAATGAAACTGAATCTTAACGTGAGATACTTGCTACTGCGCAGCTTTTAGACATTTAAAACTCGAGATTGTGGTGCTGTGTCTCTATGGCGGAGCATAGGGGAGATGGACATCTCTCTTCCCCCGTCTATCTTAAATTGGGGTGCGAGTCGCCAGCAGTGAGGCCGCAGATGAATTTCATTTCCACAACCTCCCAAGAAACGGAACACCGAAATGATAATACGTCATTAAGAATTTTACGTTCCCTATATTATTATATGATGGCCCGAGTAAATAGGTTGCTTATGGGACGACGCACCATGCTAGAGCACGTCGTCCCATAAGATCGATGCGAAGTCCCCAAACGATGATGCGGTCTATGATGGATGATAGACCGCATCATCGTTTACCACCAGACGAGATAGTGGTCACACGTCAGCCCATTAAACATAAAAAAATAAATGAGGATTTTGCACACTGGGTTAATAAAACCGGGAAAATATATCAGGAGTGTGCCTAGAAACCTTAGTTTCTAATGATAAAGGAATTTTTCAAGTTTCAGACCTTATTTATTTGAATTTAAATAAACAAACAATTAACTCTTTCTCGTCTTTAATATTAGTATGAGTTGCAAGAAATGATTAAATATTGCATAATATTATGTCAACATACCTCGGTGATTTTTTTTTAATACCAGTAATAAGATGATCAGCTCTTTTTTTAATCTTATCATTTAAATAGACTATTAAAACCAAAAATAAGTTATGAAACTTGTTTTCTAAGTATAGCCTGATTTAATTAATTAATTAAATAATGTATCATCAGGCTTGTTAATCCCCGACAGTGATCACAGAAGTGGAGTTATAGGAGTGTAAAACCTACTTCGACTTATCACCAGTTATTTTTCATATTATGGAACTACAACTGTGGTGATGGCAAAGTGGAATTCATACGTTGTATAATTTTGTGCAAGCACTGTACTTATATGCCATCTTGTTGACATTTTGTCAACCAGAATGTCAAGATCATAAGACCAGCTGTTAACTGCATATAGATATAGGTACTAGACCATTTTTGCAATAGGATAGATGCCTAATTTTTATTTTAATGTCCGTCTGATAGATTATTTTAAAACATTAGACACATTTTTCTTATTTTCTTACAGAAACGAATACTTTCGACGATTTATTGATTTGAAATGTCGCGTGACGTCACTTCTATGTACATTTTATACGTAGAAATGACGTTTTAGCCCCCACTCCTAAACTTTTATTCGTTTTAACTAAGTATTATTTTATTATAATAATAATAAAATATTTTTTCATTACATAACTTACGGACATAACATAACATCACGCCTTTTATCGAAGGGGTAGGCAGAGGTGCACATTATGCCACTGTACAATGTAACACCCACTTTTCACTATTTATGTTATGAGTCCCATGTAATAACTTACGGACTAATCAGATTATTAATTTTCATACCCTGTCATAATACCAATTGCATAAAAATCAACAATCTCACTAAACTTCTGTACTTAAGTGCTTCTTTATAGGTTGCAGTCTCTACGCTATGCAGCGAACGGAGATCAAAATTTTAAAAGTTCAGGATCAGAGCCTAGGCTCTGTCTAAGCCACTTAGTCGGTTTTTATGATACTTGTGGGAATGATAGTAGCGATATATCTAGGTACTTAAATGACTGTCTTTTTACTATTTCAGCAGTTGGAGTCGAACGAAGCCTATTGTCCAGTAGCATGTTGAGTGCGAAAAGTGAAAGACCCAATCATATTTGGATCGACCAAGGAATTAAACAGAAGACGCTGTACCATTCGTGACCATTCGAGCGACGGAGCGGTTAGCAACGGATCGATTTATAAACAGGTGGGTTATATTTTTAGATTGCTATGTTGATCAAGTGCGATCATATGTGTGACGTGATGCACAAGGTCTCACGTTGCAGAATTAAGTCAGTGGTGGTTGGGAAGACTTGCTCCCTGTTTTTTGTGTGATTAAAGCTTGTTCTTTGGGAGAGAATTAAAAATAAGTCTAAAGAAGAGAAATCGAAACAACTCAATATTTTTGGTAAAATAATTTATTAACTAAAAATGTACAAACAGAGATAAAGTCGGTCACAGTACTCAATCATATTGTGACCGACTTTATTAAATAGCCAATGATGTTAACGACTGACTATAGTCCTAAGTAATATTTATGACGACTATAGATCCGTCATAAATATATCTTAGGGAAAAATTAACTTAATATACTATTTTCTTAGAAAAAGTGGCCGTGACCACCGAATCCGTGGCCACCGTGTCCGTAGCCACCGTGTCCATGGCCGCCGTGTCCATGATCGAATCCGTGGCCACCATATCCACCGTGGCCATGGTGGTCGAATCCATGACCTCCATGACCCCCATGACCGTATCCATGCCCACCAAAGTCTCCATGGCCTCCAAAGTGTCCGTGGCCGTGGTCATGGCCATGCCCATAACCACCGTACCCATATTGAGGCAGGCCATTGGCCAATGCAAGGACGGCGCAAACCACCAAAGCGAACAGTGCAAACTGAAATTGAGATAAAGAAAATTAGAGCTTTTAATTTATAAATCTGTTTTTATATTTATTAAAAACCTAAGATTTAATTTTTAAATTAAATCTTAGGTTTAATTTAAAATTACTATTTAGTATTTATAAATAAAATATGTTTATTATTTAATTTAAACTTTAAGTACAATTGAAATAGTCAGCAGAACTTACGGTTTTCATTGTGTATGTTTCAAGTTGAATAACATTATTTTCTGAGTTTCGTGAACATTTATACGAGCGAGGATGGAGGTCAACATTCTAGTTTTCCCATTAAATTACGATTCCTACTAAAATTGTGGGTATATTATTCGAAAACAAAACTGGTTATAGGTGCTTCCTTATTATTTAATTAATCTAATATCATGGAAATTACGAATTGGTGAGATTAGTCATGGATTAATTTGCTAAAAAACATTACATGCTCAATAGTTTTTAATATTATCGTTTCTTTGAAAATATTTCATGTACATTTTTAAAGTGAACTGATGAATCACAACATAGTATTTTGTTTTATTAAAATAAATCGTAATAAGTTATTTAATATTTAGTTGCTGTAAAATAACGATTATTTTGTATTTAATGAAGTGCATAAAATTTTTTTTTGGCAATGTGATTGACAATAGTAAATAAAAAATATTGGTTTCAATTGCAAATACGTGAAATTAATAATCAATTAGAGGATGGGTGTGTCTGATGCGTATTGTTAAAAAATGTATTTATGCATATGTATGTATCCATATCCATATGTCTATGTCAATAAATTAATAGCCAGTCAATTCACTTTTTGTACAAAATAATTAATAATAATCGATGCAATCAACAAAATTAGTGTTCCATTAAGTGTTTTATTAAAATGGCAGGTAATGAATGAATTTAGATTCTTTCTAAGTCTATTTTAAGTAAACCGGTTAATAGAAAGAAATTTAGTTGTAGAGACAAAATCATTCTAAACTCGATGAAGACCAAAAATAGTCTAAAATCTCAAAATTGATAATGATATAATATTTCTTAGGTAGTACAGCTTAGTTTTTAGGTACAACTCTTCTTGATTGTTTGTCATAATTATCATCAACATCCTTGACTTTATCCGGTTATGAAAGGGCCGTACCTATCTTGGAATAACTTGGGATAACTACCGTTAATTAGCAGGTCAACTCTTCCTTTTATCCAATCTTTTAAATTTTTAACTTTATTATATTGACGTAATGTCGAAAATCGAATGAATAAAGTCAGATTGTAGGAGGTTGATCTGCTGGCCACTGTACTGGGTTAGCACCATAATGTTATACGTCTGTTTCTTTAATTCTCTTCAACCATTATTCTATCACATACCCCTTTCTCTATAATACAAGTCGTTCGAAGTTATTGTATTCCTAGAGGCAGAAGGGGGATTTTTGAAGCATTTTGTTTTAGAGTTGGCTTTTTTGTTTTGTTTTATTGGAAGCTTAAAGGTACTCTTTTCTTATTGGTTGAATAACCTATATATTTACTTATTAATAGGTAAATATTATATAATATTTACTCGTTCATACAAAAGTACGTACGAGGACGTAGTAATCCGGAATAACCGGCCCGAACCTATCCTACATAATATTAAGTATTCTCTATATGAATAAAAGTATGACTTTTGAATTATCGACCTTATAAATCTACACATAAGGATGACAGATGAGCTGATAAGGGCCGTAAAAGGAAGTGTAGATATTGGTCGCTAACAATCAGCCGATGTAAAAGTCACTGGAGTAGGTTCGAAAGTTAAAAAAGGTTCGAAGCTAAAGTAGTCGAAACGAGACTGCGTCCGGCGCACTGATTGCTTGGATTATTGGCGCCAGCCAATCAGAGCGCCGAAATCGGTCTCGTTTCGATTACTTTAAACGCAAAACAAACTCGTAACGTACGCCGTCTGTAGTGGACATTTTGTGTCAGTTACTCTTTCTTTATTATCATTTTCATCACAATAATTATAATAATTTAGTCACTAGATGTCCACTGCTGAATGTAGGTCTCCCCCAATAACTTTCAAATTGGCCAATTGGACGCGACATGCATCCATATTGAGTCTTACCAAACCAATTTTGTGTTCTTATATTAAATCTTAATAGGAATTTGTATAAAACAATATAAGGCCTTATTTCCTTATCCCGTTGGTATGCAAATAAAGTAACAGGACTCAATTTAATAATGAATTGTTAAGAAAAAAATACGACAATAGCCTTGGGAACTAACACAAAAGACGACATTGGATTAAATGACTAATCTTTTTTGGGAGTTCCATGTACAGAACAATAGTTGTGCTTCCGCTAGCATTTGCATTATTTTTACATAAAAGTTCTAAAATGTAAATAAAATATTAACATTTATTTTACAGTAGGAAATCGTCCTGGCTGAAAGACCCAAAGGCTGGTAAGCTGTCAACTAGATTTTCTTTCTATATCTATGATCCACTATGCGACTGCCTGAGGTACTAAAAACATAATATAACATCACGCCTTTTATAGTAGGCAGTTTGTAGGCAGAGGTGCACATTACGGCACTTAATGCCACTGTACAATGTAACACCCACTTTTCACTATTTATCTTATGAGTCCCATGTAATAGGGGGAGAGCTTATTTCCATATACCGGGCATAATTCCAGACTTCGTGCTACTACTGAGAATTTTAACCCGGGAATAGAACACAAGACCCCTTGCCCGGCAGTCCGACTTGCGACCACTTTGCCAACGAGGCAGTCAGAAACTCAAAATAGTTGATGAGATTTCTATTTGCATTGAAGCTCCTGAGTTTTTTTATTTATTCCAGAAGCCAATTTAATTTGTTTCAATTTATATTACAGGAAAAGGTACAGCTTATAATTTTAATACTTTAAAACCTGGTGGTCGGATTACGAATTGGGTGGAAATACCTCGTGATAAATTTTGTTTTAGTTTTTAAAAATATTTATGTTTTTGTTATAAAGGTTAAAGTTATGGTGAAGACACCTGATGTCATTCCCCGATTGGTTCCGAGAAATGAAATTAACATAATTAAGTAGTATTTAATCATTTTGAATTTTGGTAAAATAAATTCATTATGTTACGCAAACTGATACAAATTTTGATAACACAATAGTAAGTACCTAATAATGTATTACACAACGTTTGATTCCCAAAAAAAGTAATCCTAAAACCGTTTTTATTTACATCATATTGCCTTACTGCAAACTATCATCAAGTTCAACAGCCTATAAGTTGCCAGTGCTGACCAAAGGCGTCTTCTCACACGGAGAAGGTTTGAGCAAACTCTAGGTATATGAAAATGTTATTTTGCCTACGTACCTCTAACTTTTTTTAACCGAATTCATAAAAGGAGTTTCTCAGTTGAACCCGTGTGTATCTGCTTAGGTATGTACTTATTTTTGTCCATGATTATCTTGTGTATGGTTGAACTGGAACCGATTTTGATGGAGATTACAGAAAATTGTTTAATTTATTTATTTATGTACACACATACAACATAAAGGACAACAGA